TGCTGCCTCTCATAGCTCATAGCTGCTGCCGCTGCTGCTGTTGGTGTTCATAGCTACTGCTACCGCTGCTGTTGCTGCTGCTGCTGCTGCTTCTAGCTACTGCTGCTGCTTCTAGCTGCTACGTTTGCTTCTGTTTCAAAGTACTACTGCTGCTCATTAGCACTGGCTGATGAGCCCCACAAGGCTTTAGCCTTCTGAAATGCTGCTGTTGCTGCAGCACTTTAGCAGCAACTTAAACCAATTGGACGAATATAAATATTGTATTGTATTTATTTATTTATTTATTTATTTATTTATTTATTTATTTATATGCAAATATAAATTATCTACATTGGCCACTTTTGCTGCCTCCAGCGCCTCCTTATCGCTTTCGGGGGGCCCCCAGCTGCCACTCAATTTAGAACTTGGGGGGGCCCCGATTATCTTCTAGTTTTTGTTTCTCAGGTAAATAAATAAATATATAAATATATAAATAAATAAATTACGTAATTAATTAATTAGTAGATAATATAGATACTATATTTATCTCAAAATGCAAACAAGTGCATCCAAACGCATGTCCTTGTAGACCAACCCGTGCAGAAATATACACGAGTTCCTTCTATTGCGCAGGCACTTGCATGCATTTGCATGCATTTGCATGCATTTGCATGCATTTGCATGCACTTGCATGCAATTTGTGCATATTGGAGAAAAATAAAATTAAAAGATTCTTCTTCATCTTCCGATTTGCAAACTGGCATAGTTTGCAGCAGTTGTACATCGGGCTTTGCGGATGACGAGTCAAAAGTGTTAATTTGAAAAGAATTAGTTTTATGAAGAAAGCCGGAATTAGGAGAAATAATATAATAGTTCAATTAAAAGAAATAAGTCGAAGTGAGAAGAGCTGTTCAGTTACGCCCCGCAACTTAGGTACACTTGTTCAGCTTTCGTTCAAGTTGAATTAAAAAGAAGTTCAAAAACAAACAAATATGCATCCCCGAACTGAAAAATAAGTCAAGCCTTGCCTCAGCAGCAGCAGCAGCAGCAGCAGCTGCTGCTGCTGCTGCTGCTGCCGCTCCTGCCACTGCTGGTGCTGCTCCTGCTGCTGCTCCTGCAGTGGTCTGGTGTCGAAGAAGATGGCTGCCAGCTGTGCCGCCGGCGCAGCCTCTTCGTTATAGAGCATTTTGAATGCATTTTGAAAACGCGAATTATTTAATAAATGAATTTATTGTTTTCGAGTTGAACAAATCTGAACTTCGCGGGGTTCGGTGTTCCGGGGTGTCTATACAGTCTCAGCCAGCCCCAACTGCTGCTCGGAGTTTCTCCGCTGCTTCGACTTAAGATAATTCCATTTGCAACTAATTTATCATTTTATTTATTTTGATTAATTAGTTCTTCTGTTCAATTCGCCTGGAAGATCTTAAGCCCTCTGCAGTGCGCAGCAGCGCAGCAGCACTGCTGCTGCGCCCGCTGCTGCCTGCTGCTACTGCTGCTGCTGCTGCGCGACCACGGAATTCCCTCAAAATGGAAGATAGTGGACTTGTTCAATTTGGTCCTTTTCTCCCGGGACAAGAAACTCAAAAAGATGAAAATGAAGAAGAAGATGGAGCCCCCCTGGCGGCGCCCCCCCCGCTACTGTACCCGCGGGGTGTATGTACAGCAGCGTGGGACAAGGCGCGGCTGCAGCTGGCGCTGCTGCTGTCTCGCGCTGCAGCAGACGCGGGCGCAGCACCCTCGACTGCTGCTGCTGCTGCTGCTGCCTTCCACCTGAGCCTGCCTTCCTTCTTCCACATCGACGCTGCTGCTGCTGCTTCGTGTCTTGCTGCTGCTCTGTTTCTAGCAGCAAAAGCAGCAGACGAGGAGTTCAACTTGCGGCGGGTGGTGGCCTCTTTGGGGTTTTGCTGCCACCACGCGTCTGCTGCAGCGGAGGAACGGCGGCGGCAGCAGCAGCAGCAGAAGCAGCAGCAGCAGCAGCTCAAGCCGCCGCCGCTCAAGCAGCAGCAGCAGCAGCAACTCGCGGGAGAATATGTCCCTCTTGGAATCAAAGAATACTGGAAGCAAAGACACAATTGCTTCTTGGAGGAGCAGCGGCTGATGCAGGCTTTAGGGTTTTCGCTGCCAAACCCCACGCTGTGGCAGCAGCTGCCGCTGCTGCTGCTGCTGTCGCGCTGCACTGCAGCAGAAGCAGCAGTGGCAGCAGCACTCGTCGCAGACGCTGCAGCAGGACCCCTCGGTGCTGCTGCTGATCAGGAAAGAGTTGTTCTTGCTGCTGCCTGTTTGCTGGCGAGGAAGCTGGTGCGGCGGTTTAAGGAGAGGAACAAGCAGCAGCAGCAGCAGCAGCAGCAGCAGCAGCAGTGGCTGTACTCGCCGCAGGCCGCTGTTGCTGCTGCTGTTGCGGCTACGCCCGAACACAAAGCAGCAGCAGCAGAAGCAGTCCAGCTTCTTGAAGACGAAATCGGCGCTGCTGCTGCTGCTGCTGAAAACGACACCCACAACTTGCTGCTGCGGCTGCTGCCGCTGCTGCAGGGCATCGGCAGCAGCAGCGACCAGTGCAGCAGCAGCAGCAGCAGCAAACCCCCCCTTTGCCACCAGGTTGCAGCAGCAGCAAAAAAGATGCTGCTGCAGTACGCGCTGCTGCTGGACGACAGCCACGGCCACCAGGTGTACAGACACCTCGCCGCCGGGGAGGACTGACTCTCTTTTCTTTTTATCAAAGATTTTGTCTTTCATTTTATTTTGTTTTTTGTTGTTTTTATTTTTATTTTTTACTTTTTAATTGTCTGCATTTTAATCGAGATCTAGGGCTTACGTGCAGGGCCCAGCTTGCTGTGCTGCAGCAGCTTCTGCCATGCGCTTTCGCTGCTGCTGCTGCTGCCGTTGCTGCTGCTGCAGCTGCTTCTGCCGCAACGGTTGCTGCTGCTGCTGCTGCTGCTGTGCTTTAGGCTGCTGCAGCACTGGGGCTGTGTAGTCTGGGCTGCCACGTGCAGACCCTAAACCCTAATACTTCTAAACCCTAAACCCTAGTTGGCTGCTGCTGCGTTCCAGGACGGCCGTGGGCGTTTTGCTGCTGCTGCTGCTGCTTCGTTGTTCTGTGAATTTCATTTATTTACAAATTTAATTATTTTTGTTTTGAAGAGAAAACAAAGGGAAGCAGCAGCACGGAACTGGCTAACAGCTGCAGCGGACGGCAGGTAGCTGCTTGCTGCTGCTACAGCTTGCTGCTGCTGCAGCTTGCTGCTGCTGCAGCTTGCTGCTGCTGCAGCTTGCTGCTGCTACAGCTTGCTGCTGCTGCAGCTTGCTGCTGCTACAGTTTGCTGCTGCTGCAGCTTGCTGCTGCTGCCGCAGTTTAGTGCTGCTGCAGCTGTGCTGCAGCATGCTGCTGGTGCTCGCTGCTGCTGGTTGCTGCTGCAGCTTGCAGCTGCTCCTTGCTGCTGCTGTTTGCTGCTACTGCTTGCTGCTGCGGCAATATTTAGATCTATTTGCATGCGAGGAGTTACTTGCTAAAAATATTCATTTATGTATTTTTTTATACACTCTTTATTTATTTATTTAGTTATATATTTATTTGTTTATTTATTCGTTTGTTTATTTGTTTATTTATCATTTCCTGTTTGTTTGCTGTTTTTTTGTCCAGCTGTTGTTTATTTATTCTTTTTGTTTCTTTATTATTTAAAATTTATTATTTATTTATTTATTTATTTATTTATTTATTTATTTGCTTATATTTTTTACTTGTTTGATTGTAAGCAGCTGATGCATTTTACCATTTTGGGTTACTTGAGATTGAAACAAAGAATTGGAATTTTAAAAATGGAATTTGATGTTAAAAATTGGAATTTGAATTTAAAATTGAAATTGAAATTTATTGCTTATTAATTTAAATAAATAAATTAAAATGAATATAGTTTGAAGCATTTAAAAATTCAAAAACGAAGCAGCCGACAGTGCAGCAGCAAGAAGAGCTATTTGAAATTCAAGTTAATTCAATTAATTTGAATTAATTGAATTTAATTTTAACTTTTAATTTTATTTACATTAAATTGATCAAGAAGTCTAAATTAATTCCATTTTATTCTGTTGATTCAGCTTAAAATGTCACAATTAGGGTTTAGGGTTTAGGGTTTAGGGTTTAAGGTACTGGGGTGTACAGACACCTCAATCAAACCGCCGCCGCTCGTCACCCTCGCAGACTAAACGCATGCATAAATATAATTTGTTTATTTCATTTTTTAGAATTATTATAAATTATAATTTGTTTATTTTATTTCATTAATATCACTGAATATTTCATTCCTCTTCTGCTGCGTGCATGCCTCTGTGCTGCTGCTGCTGCTGCTGCTGCAGTTCAAAATTCGGAAGCTGCAGGCCGTTATTTGCGGCCAAACCCTAAACCCTAAACCCTAAACCCTAAACCCTAGGGGACTGCAGTTGGTGAAATTTTGTGTATTTCTGGGTCTATCTTTTAATTATTTTGTTTTATTTTAAATTTAAAATAAAATAATTTAAAATAAAATAATTTAAAATAAAATAATTTGAAATAATTCTGCAAAACAAATGAGACAGCTTTGGTGGCATGCGCTGCCGACTGTGCCGTCGGTCGTCTGCGGTCTGAAGAGCCCAGGGTTTAGAGTGTTTAGGGTGTAGGGTTTAGGGTTTAGGGTTTAGGTCTAGGGTTTAGGGTTTAGGGTTTAGAGTTTGGTGCTTAGGGTTTAGAGGTTAAGAATTTGCTCCGGCTGCAAGCCATTGAACGGGGCCCCTCGAAAGCCCCTCCGTGGCTGTTTAGGGTTTAGGGTTTAGGGTTTAGGGTTTAGGATTATGGTTCAGCAGCAGTAATAAGAGCAACATTAACTCTTTTTTTGCTGCTTGCACAGCAGCAGACAGCGCGACTGCCAGTCTGCTGCTGCAGCAGCAGCAGCTGCTGCTGCGTTGTCTGGTGTCTCTTAACACCCCTAGACCCTAAACTCTACACCCTAAACCCTAAACCCTAAACCCTAAACCCTAAACCCTAAAGTGGGGAGATGGACGTTTTGCGGGCATCGGCGTCTCGCTGGGCCTTTGAGCCCTCGGGCGGCGCAGCGCAGCAGCTGCAGCAGCAGCAGCAGCAGCTGGAAGCCGCAGCAGCAGCAGCAGCAGCAGCAGACGAAAGCATGCGCTGCGAAGCCCTCTTCTTCAGGGAAGCTGATGAAACGCTGCAGCAGCTGCAGCTGCTCGCCAGCCTCACAAACCAAGCAGCAGCACTTGCTGCTGAGCAAGCAGCAACAGCAGCAGCAGCAGATGACGCTGCTGCTGCTGCTGCTGCTGCTCCCTGCTCCAGACCCACGTGTCCCTCTGAAGCAGCATCAGCAGCAGCAGCACCTCAACAGACAGCAGCATCAGCAGCAGCAGCAGCAGCAGCAGAAGCAGCAGCAGCAGCAGCAGGGCCGCTGACGGCTTCGAATGTGCAGCAGTGGCTGCAGCAGTTCTGCAGCACAGCAGCAAAAGTTGTCCATACACTCGAACAGTACCAGGAGCAGCCGCAGCTGCTGGACCCTTACCTGCCGCAGCAGCTCCAGGTGCTGCTGCTGCCGATTCAGCAGCATTTGCTGCTGCTCACCACGCACTCCCTGCAGCAGCAGCAGCAGCAGCAGCAGCAGCGGGAGAGGGGGGACTGGACCGCAGCAGCAGCTTGCTGCTGCTTGCGGCTGCTGCTGCACCTGGTGTACGTACACTGCAAAGTCAGGGGGGCAAAGGCCATCCGCAATTTGCTGCCGCAGCAGCCGGAGCTGCTGGAGCCCGTTTTCGCAGCAGCAGCAGCGCTGCAGCAGCTGCAGCAGCAGCAGCAGCGGCAGCAGCAGCAGGATAAGAGGGACGAGGAGGAGACCCTGCAGCAGCAGGCTCAAGAGGCGTCTAGTGCTGCTGCCGCCGCTGCAGCAGCAAGACCTACTGACGCAGGAGCAGCACCAGCAGATGAAGCAGCAGCAGCAGCAACAGCAGCAGCAGCAGCAGATGCTGTTGCTGCTGTGGCTGACACTTTGCCCATATGGAGTTCAGTGTTTTCTCTTTTTGTGTGGCTCTCTTTGCTGCTGCTGGCTCCCTTCAGTTTATTATCTTTAGACTCAAACCAAACCCAGCAGCAGCAGCAGCAGCAGCAGCAGCTGCAGCAGCAGCAGCAGCAGCAGCTGCAGCAGCAGCAGCAGGGGGAGCGGGAGCAGCAGCAGGAAGAGGAACGGCAGCTGTCGCTTGCTGCTGCTGCTGACGCACCGCTCGGCCTGCGGCTGCTGCACCTGGCCCTGAGCTGCTGCAGCAGCAGCAGCAGCAGCAGCTCAAAAGCAGCAGATGCTGCTGCGCTGCTGCTGCAGTCCCTCTTCCTGCGTCCTGATGTCCACGAGCAGCAGCAGCTGCTGCTCAGGGCCTTCCTCCGCCACTGCGAACTCACGCTGCTGGGCCCGCAGCAGCAGCAGCAGCAGCAGCAGCAGCAGGGACTGGAGGACAGCAGCACCGCTAGCCTCTTCGGCTCAGAACAAACCAATGGCGAGTCTTCTCTCTGCAGCAGCAGCAGCAGCAACAACAGCAGCAGCAAGATAAATAGCAACGCATCTATTGTTAATTAATTAATTAATTGATTAATTAATTGATTAATTATATTTAAAAAAAATTGGATTTCATTTGTTTTTTATTTGCTGCCTTTTCTTTTGCTTCTTTTGTCTCTTTTGTCTCCTTTTCGTTTCCGCTGCGGCGCTGGAAGCAAAATGCTGTGCTGTAGCAGCAACATAAGACGCAGCAGCAGCAGCAATGCCAGTACTGCGCAGCAGCAGCAGCAGCAGCAAATAAGTGTTTGCGAACATGTGCTTTGCTGCTTCTTCTGCAGCAATGGCGGGGCTGCAGAAGGTTTTGAAGTCCCTGCGAGCAGCAGATGCTGCCCCGCTGCTGCCGCGTCTGCAGCGCCTGGTGCTGCAGCAGCAGCAGCAGCAGCAGCAGCTGGGGGGCTCAGCTTTGCTGCGAAAGCACCAAGCAGCTTCTGCTGCTCTCCTGGCGCTGCTGCTGCTGCCCAAGCGCAGCACCACCTGGCGCTACAGCGTCAACGCGCGTTCTCTCGAGCTGCTGCTGCAGCAGCAGCAGCAGCAGCAGGGGCTCGGCGAGCAGCAGCAGCAGCAGCAGCAGCAAGAGGAGCCAGAGGAAGAACTGTCTCCAGAAGCAACAGAAACTGTAGCAGCAATTGTGTCTCTTCTGCTGCAGCGCCTGGCAGACACAGACACCCGAGTTCGCTGGGCAGCAGCAAAAGGCATCGGGAGACTTTGTTTGTCCCTTTCCAAAAGCTTTGCAGAGCAAGTAAGCAGCAGCAGCAGCAGCAGCAGCAGCAGGGTCACCGGCGGCAGCAGGACTGCAGCGGCAGCGGGAGTGCAGCGGCAGCAGCAGGCGACGCAGCAACAGCTGCTGCTGCACTGTCGGCGGCGAAATCGCACTGATATTAGCTCTGCTGCTGTTGCTGCTGCTGCTGTTGCTGCTGCTGCTGCTGTTGCTGCTGCTGCTGCTGCAGGTTTGCTGCGCGGTGCTGGAGCCGTTCGAGGCGGCGACTGCGCCGCTTCCGCCGACTGCAGCAACTGGTGCAGCAGCAGCAGCAGCCGAAGGGGAAGCAGCAGCAGCAGCAGAGAGGGGATGGAACGAAAACATACTGGGGGACTCTTCTGCTGCAGCAGAGCGGCTGTTGAGCGGCAGCTGCCTGGCCGTGGCGGAGCTGCTGCGGCTGGGAGTGGTGCAGCAGCAGCAGCTGGAGGGGACCTTGAACTTTGTGTGCCGCTGCTTGCTGTACCCCGGCCGCAGCAGCAGCAGCAGCAGCAGCAGCTTGTCAGGGGCTTCTGTGCGGGATGCTGCGTGCTACGGGGCCTGGGCCTTCGCGCGCAGCTACCCAGCAGCAGCAGCAGCTTTGCTGCTGCGGCGGCGGCTGGGCCGCCACTTGCTGCTGGCGCTGCTGTTCGACTCTGCTGTTGCTGTTCGTCGTGCTGCTGCTGCTGCTTTCCAAGAAATAGAAGGAAGACAAGGGCTGCTGCAGCAGGGCCTCAGTGTCATTACACTTGCGGACTACTTCACTGTTGGCAGCAGACGCTGCTGCTTCCTCACTGCAGCGCCAGCAATCGCCGCCCTCGAGCCGCAGCAGCAGCAGCAGCAGCAGCACGAGCAGCAGCAGCGATACGAGCAGGAGCAGCCGCTGTCCATTGTGCTGCTCGAGTACCTCTGCTGCCGAGTGTACAGACACCCCGACCCCCAAATGCGGCGGCTTGCTGCTGCTGCTGCTCTTAGAATAGCTCCTCTTGCTGCTCCTTATGCTGCTGCTGTGAGTTGCTGCTGCTGCACCAAGCAGCAAAATATATTTAATCCAAATCTCCCCAAACATTTGCACAAGTGTAAATACTTTAGGAGCAGCAGCTAGCACCATCTTCCTGCTGCTTTCCGCAGCGCACTGTCCAGGCTGCTGCTGCTGCTGCTGCTGCTTGTATTCAGGTGCTGCTGCCGCAGCAGCTGCAGCGGCTGCAGCAGCAAAGCGCTCCTTTGGAGGAGTGCCACGGGGCGTTGCTGCTGCTTGCCTCCTTGGTTGGGGCTTTACGAGCAGCACCAGACCCTGCTGCTGCTGCATCCAAAGTTGGAGCAGCAGCAGCGGCAGCAGCAACTTCCGCTGCTGCAGCAGCTGCAGCTCCTGTAGAGGGGCCGCGAGCTGCAGCGGCAGCAGGCGCACCGGCAGCTCCAGCGGAACCAGCAGCAGCAGCAGCAGCAACAGAGGCAGCAGCAGCAGCAGCAGCAGCAGCAGAGGCAGCAGCAACAGCAGCAGGAATGGTAGGACCCGCTCTACAAACTAAAGTCCGAAGCAGCATTGTCTCCTTTGAGCAGCAAAGGCCCTACAGGCGAAGAGGAGGAGACCTTTTAAGGGAAGCAGCTTGTGGCTTCATTTCATCTATAGGTGAGGCAGCAGCAGCAGCAGCAGCAGCAGCAGCAACAGCAGCAGCAGTAGCCGATACAGTTGCAGGAGTTTAGGCACCGCCACTTGCAGTGGAAAGGAACACAGAAACAGCAGCAGCAGCATAAGCAGCAAAGGAACTACTGTAGGGGCAGCAGTTGCTGCAGCAGCTGCTGCTGCTATGTATTATGACTGCTCCTTAAACGCAGTGTGTGTCTGTCTTGTTGCCGCTGCTGCTGCTGCTGCTGCTGCAGCGAGCAGCAGCAGTTGGGCATTTAGGCGCGCCACCTGCAGCAGGTATCTGGAGACTTGCCTCGACAGTCTCAAATCATTTTCTGCTGCTGTGCAGCTTGCTGCTGCTGAGGCCATTCGGGCGCTGCTGCTGCACCGCATGCAGCCGGAGCAGGCGCAGCAGCAAGTCCTCCCCAAGCTGCTGCTGCTGCTGCAGCAGCAGCAGCAGCATGTCGCAGCCCGCAGCGGAGCCCTCTTAGCAATCGCAGCGCTGCCTCCCAAGGTGTACCGCCTGGCGCTGCAGCAGCAGCAGCAGCTGGAGCAGCAGGAGCAGCAGCAAGAGCAGCAGCAGACTCAGCAGCCACAGCAACAGCAGCAGGAGCAGCCGCAGCAGCAGCAGCAGCTCGAGCCACAGCAGACGCAGCAGCCACAGCGGCAGCGGCAGCAGCTCGAGCCGCAGCAGACGCAGCAGGGGCAGCAGCCGCAGCAGCAGCAGCAGCAGCTGTTGCTGCTGCCGACTCTGCTGCGGGAAGCAACAGCAACAGCTCCCCTGGGCTCTGCTGCTCTCAACGACCCCCACACCAGGAGACACGCGCTCCTGGCTCTGGCCTTCCTAATAGAATCTGTCTCTCCCCTGCATGCAGCAGCAGCAGCAGCAGCAGCAGCAACAGCAGCAGCAGGAGCAGCGGCACAGGCAGGAGCAGGGGCAGCAGCAGGAGCAGCAGCAGGAGCAGCTGCTGCTGCTGAGGGAGCTGCTGCTGTAGCCAGTGCGCCTGCTGGTGGTAGTGAGGGCGATGGCGGTGGCAGCTCTACTGCAGCTGCCGCTGCTGCTGCTGCTGCTGCTGAAGCAGCAGCAGCAGCAGCAGCAGTGGACTGGGGGTCCGTGGTGAGGTGTCTGTACACCTGCGCAGCAGACTTCGCTGCAGACCAAAGGGGAGATGTGGGGAGTTGGATTAGAGAAGTTGCTGCTGAAGTTGCTGCTCTCATTCTGGAGTCCTTTCCTTACTGCTGCAGCAGCAGCCGCAGCAGCAGCAA